CGCTCAATGCTGAAGCAAGGTCAGACATGCATGCCTGGTCTACATTCATTGATAATCTCAACGGGAAGACTTGTTTCTTATTTGATAGATGGGTTTCATCAGATACAATTAAGGTCAGTCGATACGTTTCTCAAATATCTATTTTGTATATCTTCGTTATTTATGCAAAATATTCAAAATTTTAATTACCTTCTGATTTCTAAACTGGTTTCTGATTTTCTTTAAAAAAAAAATGAAACACTAAAAAATGTGATATTGGAAAATTATTTTTTTTTCCAAAAGGGTTTTATAGGAAACACCTTCCTCTGGTATCTTGCACAAATGCCTGGTAAGGTACCTCAATTTTTTGTGAGTAAACATGTTAAAGTAGCAATACTTCAATGACAAAATCTTAGAAAAAATTATATATTATTGAGGAACGTATCGTCTGTCCTTAAATTATATTCTGATGCTGCAGGTGTGCATGAAGGTTATGCAGCTGTTCTTGGTAGCAAATGGTTAACTGGCGAGAGGTCAAACGATATGGTGTCTTGGTATATTACTGCCAAAGAATTGTTTCCTATAGTGTTAGCTTTAGAATTGTGGGGACATTATTTAAACCAGAAGTCTCTGATGAGACTATAGCTCTACTGGTCTGTACATATACATGTAACAAAGAAAAAGTAGCACATGGATTTGAAACTTTGCAACATGCAGCAATGAATAGAATTATGTATTTTAATATTGTCTACTTGTGTGCCAAGTTATATTGAAATCAAATGAAAACTGTAGGAGGAGTAGGTTTTAAAAGAATTTCACAGAAATTTCTATTTTTAGTAACAATGGAAACACCGTTCATCGAAATCAAAAACTGATGCAATGAATTATGTATCTTAGTGTAGTCTACTTGTGTGCCAAGTAATATTGAAATCAAACCAAAACTGTAGGAGGAGTAACGTTTTAAAGGAATTTCACAGAAATTTCTATTTTTAGTAACCATGGCAACACCGTTCATCGAAATCAAAAACTGATGCACAAAATTATGTATCTTAATGTAGTCTACTTGTATGCCAAACCATATTGAAATCAGACGAAAACTGTGGGAGGAGTAGCATTTTACAGGAATTTCACAGAAATTTCCATTTTTAGTAACCATGGCAACGCTGTTCATCGAAATCAAAAACTGTTGCAATATTGCATAATTATTTGATACTCTGTGCATGTGTGTATATGTGTGTTGAAGTCATCTAAAATTTAGATAGTTAGGGTGAGTTAACCATGCATCGGACACATACCTTGCTTCGGACAACTTTAAGCAATAAACTTTTATTGAACCTGAGTCTTGTCGTGTTTTTACTTGTTTCTGACTGAAAGGTGAAGATTTAGACTTTTTAATGATGCCGATTTTTATTTTCATGTTGTGATAAAAATACCACAAGAATGGCCTTGAAATTACGTCATATTTTGCATCATCAAAGGAGAGTAACCAGCATTTTACAATTTTGCATTTTTTAGAGTTGTCGTTCTTTTAAATAGACTTCAACGGAACGAGACGGACCTAGGTAAAATTTGTCAATCATTATTAATTTTAAAGAAAATTTTCAAAAAATTTACTTCAATGTGTGTATAATATTCTTTAGAGTTGTTTTTACTAGTATATTTATTTCACCGTACATCGGACACAAATTAACCATGCATCGGACACTTTCCGATGCATGGGTAATCGCTTCCATTTTCATATAAAGCCCAAATGATAGCTGTTTTATACGGAAATAGAAAATAGAAACTCTAAATTTTCAGTGAAAATACAAGTTATCGATATATGACGACTAGAAGTGGACTCTATTTTATTACTCTAAACTAGATGATGATAACTCACGAGACAAAGGCGCGAGTTGCCATATTACTAGCATTGTAAAGCCTTTCTAAGGCGATGTAATGCAACTAAAAATCTCTTCACATTTGTGGATTGAAATAGTCATTCAAATTTAACTAGATGGTTAATTTTTAAATAAAAGATAAAAATGTTTCGATATCACTAATTTTAAAGCACCGAGATCAAGGTATGATATTTTTTTGGTTTAAATATTGTATGTCCGATGCATGGTGAATATTGTCCGATCCATGGTGAATTCTGACTTATTTCGAATACATCGGTTTTTAGTGATATTTTCTCAATAAATAGCACACGATTCTGTCAAAAGTTTATATTTTGAGCACATACTACATGTTAAGTTTCATTTTGATAATATTCGGTCGGTAGCGATATCGCTAGAACTTGTTGAAGTACGAGGGTGTCCGATCCATGGTGATTTCACCCTAATTGTTATTAACGATTCTTAGTTTTTATTCTATTATCTACCAATTGTCTGATAAATTTTCATCAAGTCTGTTGAATTTTGTAAAGAAATAAAAGTAAAATCTTATTCACATTTTTTGTTTTTATTAGCCGAAGGCTCAAGTGAGCTTTTCTGATCAGAATTTGTCTGTTGTCTGTCGTCGTCACCATCGTTGTAAACTTTTCACATTTTCAATCTTCTCCTCAAAAACCACTGGACCAATTTCAACCAAACTTGCTACAAAGTACTATCCTTGGGTAAAGGGAATTCAAGTTTGTTCAAATGAAGGGCCACGCCCTCTTCCAGGGGGAGATAATTATGAATTAGTGATAAATTAATGACTTTTTTAAAAAATCTTAATTCTCCACAAGAACTACTGGGTCAGGAAAGATGAAACTCATGTGGAATCATCCTCAGGTAGTGTAGATTTAAATTTGTTCAAATCATGACCCCCGGGGCAAGGGTGGGGCCACAATGCCCGATCAAAGTTATACATAGGAATATATAGGAAAAATCTTTAAAAAAATCTTCTTCTCAAGATCCATAGGGACAGGAAAGATCAAACTCATGTTGAATCATCCTCAGGGAAGTGCATGTACATTCAAGTTTGTTCTTATCATGGCCCCTGGGGTAGGGTGGGGCCGCAATGGCCGATCAAAGTTTTACATAGGAATATATTGAGAAATCTTTAAAAATCTACTTGAAAGTTCTTCTCAAGAACCATTGGGACAGGAAAGATGAAACTCATGTTGAATCATTCTCAGGTAGTGTACATTCAATTTTGTTCAAATCATGGCCCCCGTCGGTAGGGTGGGGCCACAATGGCCAATTAAAGTTTTACATAGAAATATATAGGGAAATCTTTAAAATTTTCTTCACAAGTACTGCAAAGCCATGATTAATAATATTTTTATGGAAGCATCCTCAGATACTGTAGATTCTAGTTTGTTCAAATCATAACCGCCGGATAGGGTGGGGCCACAATGTGGGATCCAAGTTTTACATTAAAATATATTTTTAAAAAATCTGTTTGTAAAGAATAGCAAAGCCATGATTTCGTATTAGAATTCAAGCCCCCTTCCCCCGCCGGTAACGAGATGTTTCGCACCTATGCATGGTTCGCCCCACGGTGTTTCACTCCAAGTACATAAATGTGCTACTGAGTTTGGTTCAATTAACAAAATTTCAGATTTTAAATATATGTAAATATAGATATTTTTGGAACATTTTTTTTCAAATTTAAGAAGATTATATATTTTAAGCAGACACGTAAATTATTTGTCTGTGTTTGAAGTATACATACATAGCATAATTATGAATTATTATAACACCGTGCTAATTACGTACAAGTAGATAATTATAATACCACCATCTAATTAAGTAATTATTGCTGGCTTGGACAACCTACACATCAACTTAAATTCTCACCTTTTGATCCCCAACTTATTACAATTAAATCCTCATTGAAACACTGTTGAATTGTTGAACAGACACGCTGAGCAAACGGGCACCGTACGATCCGTTAACTATAGCAGTCCATGTTATTAAGTCATGAATTTGAGCACACAAAATATTTATGTCATATTTGATAAATAATTTAAAACGGATGAAAATGTGATGAAATATTTAAAATAAAACCATCTCAGTGCGAAACAGAATTGGCGCAAAACATCCCGGATTCCCCCCGCCCACCCCCTCGGTAAACTTTTCAATTCTGATCTGATTTGTGCGTTTTCCTAGCTGATATTATTCTGAAGTGTATAAATTTTTGGAAACCTCCTTTATTTAAAAAAAATATTTAATAAAGATTTTCCACCAAACATTTCTGCTATATTTTCTTTAACTTGGTAAGACAAAGAGGAAAACTCACCGAGTCGACCTCCAATATGGCGGCCAACGGGAGGTAACTTTTGCTAAATTTAGGTCCATCGTAAACTATCTATTATCATAATAAATTCACCACTAAATAGATTTGAATGTTTTATGTACCAACGATAAGTTAAATCATAGTGTATTTTCCATACTGTATTCTAATAAGTATTTTAAGATGAAGTTTAAATATATTGTTTCATGAGAAATATATTAATTGTACTTGAATTTAAAAGGTAATTTTTAATGTAAATCCTGTTGTATTCTATTTGCCATTTCCCGATTACAGTCTTCGGCCTATGCATTGGTAGAAATTGCATAATGAGAAAATTTTCAATTATTTCATTGGTTGAAATGCTGTTAGAAGAAGGTAACGGAATAAGCCGAGGCTTGCAGAAAGATCTCGAAATTTACGGAGAAGGCCAAGCGACAACCATGGTAGGGCTAATACCAGTAAAAAACTTTTTATAGAAATACAAAACCAAGAAATTTTCAAGAATAAAATGGCCTGATATTGTGTGATAGGTGTAGATGGTTTACTGTATACAGTGGTTTAAAGATTGTTGCTAAAGACGGTAAGCTTTTTTTTAGAAAGCTCTACTTGTACCATTTTTATATACTTGAAGTGACTCGAAGACTTCCAATAACAACAAAACGACTGACGTCATGCAATTTTCTTGGCGGGAGTGTAGAATTCTAGCCGGAAAAAATCTGGACTTCTTTATATACTTTAATGAAAACCCGAAAACTTCGAAAGAGCTAACGTCATGCTTTATTCTGGTTTTCCACGAGTGAAGTCAAGGTACTGCCAAGATGACATCTTCGGAGGAAAAACGAAAGATGGATGAAAATCCACCACCATCAGACAACTCTGTAACCATGGTGACTGGATTTATCCACTGCTTGTCCCCAGTAAAAATTTCGGCAAACGGGAGCAGATATTTTAATATGACAATACAACGAAAGGATGAATACACCGTTGCCGTGTCCTTCAGTGCCTCCGCACACCAACAAATGCTAGAAATGTCAAAAAGCAAGTAAGTAATTGCTTTTTTTCAATACCATCAGTTGAATGTATAGATTTTTTTTCATTGTAATTCCAAGTACCTAGTTTTCTGTATTCTTATGACGTATTTTCTCCGAGTTATCTTCCTTGTACGCCATCTTCGAGGTGACTAGCTGCAATAATGTAGCCCCCCCCCCTTTTTTGGGGGGGAGAAACTTGAGACGATGTAGATCAAAATTTGCAGGAAATCTTAATAATAAAAAATTGATAAATAAGGCCTTAATACTCTTTATATTCAAAGTAAACGTTGACTAGGTTGACATATTGGTAACGTCTCAAATTCAGCTACAATCAATATTGCTAGAAAAAGAAATCAGCTGATTGATCAAACACAGATTTGACACGCAAAATATGCACCCGTGGTTAAATTGAATGGGTCAGTCGGATTACTGGTAAGAAATTGTTTTAGGCCTATTAAGAACATTTTTCTTCTTTTCATGCTGAAAAAAAAGCTCATTTAAGAAATGAATCGGAATTAATAGCAAATACATACACCTAAATATTTACATCTGCTATACATTTTCTAGTAAGCCAACAGTGAAATTGTTTTCAATACCATTTCCGGGATACTACTAAGCGGAGTACGCTAGATTACGATAGAGTACTTTAGAGTACGCTAGAAAAAAAGCAATTTAATATATAATTAGACTGTTTATTTATGCATATAAAACTTGATTAAACAGTATTATAAAACGTATAAAATAATATATTGCAATATTTGTCTCAAATATTTGTTTTTTTTAGTGAAAGTTTGACAAGAAAGCAACATTAATGAATCAATGCATTAAAGGTTATAATCACCCCGATCTCAACTACTATTTTTTTTCAGACTTATTTCAATTAAATTTTATTTATCAAAGATTAAATTAATTACATTATAAATATTTAATATTTTTCACATGAACAATCAAACATTTAAAGTTTTTCTCTATATACATCACAAGTCACATGGTGTCGAGGATCCTTAAGGTAGAAATACAAACAATATTAAAAGAAAAAGAATTTGACACTTTTCCAATTAATTCCCACATGGTCCAAATTTGACAACTTCAGCAATGGTCCCCTGAGAAATCAAAACAAAAACCATTCAATTTTTATGACCCGCCATGAATATGGCCGGGGCATATAGTGTTTGTCATGTCCGTCCTTTTGTCCTTCCATCTGACCTCCATCACACTTTGCGTTTAGCTCAGTTCCAATGTGGCCCATGAGCCTCTTGTTAAACTTAATATGCTGATAAAGTACATAAGTATGCACTTATACATAATTTTCTGAGAATTTATCATCTATATCCAACTTTTTAGACTTCAATTTTAATGTAACTAATATATTAAAGGAATTCTGATCAAATTTCATACACTGCATTAATTACTAATATACCCTTTGTGGGCCATTCATGTCCTCTTGACAATTCAGTGTTTTCCCTAAGAACCGGCTACTAACCAAATTGACGGCTTCAATTGACAAAAAGCTTTGAAATGAAAATTTGTTGTAAGATCCACAGAGTTTCTGTTTATAAACCTCAGCCCCTGGCCTGTTACAATTGATCTCTAACCCTTTGACTTTGAGATAAAGGGAAAACACTAACAATTTCTAGTTTTATCTTCCAGCAATTTAACAATATAATCATGATAATATAAAAACTAATTCAAGAAAAATTATTAAAATCTCTTACAGTAGAAATATTTAGACTTGGCCTTGTTAAATGTGTACCTAATTGTAGTTATTGTACTGTTTGTAAAACTCTTTCTTGGTTACATTTCAGAACACCAGTGTCACTTCATAATGTACAAATGTCACCCAGTCTGAAATCAAGCGGAAAATTCGATGTCAAATATAACCATCGCTCAAATATGACCCCTGCAAGAAATTTGGACTTCGAGTTCCAGTTGCCAGAGCATTCGAAATATAGAACCATAAAAGAAATAGAGGAAAACCTCAATGCTTTCCAGAAGGTAAAAATCGGATGTTAGCTCAATTTCTGAGAAACAAACGTTAAAAATTTGTGGAATAAATAAAACCTAATTAGTTTTAAAAATAATGTCTCAAGAGTATACAGTAAAATAATTTAATTTTGTTTGTATTCTAGCCTCTGATTGGTTAATATCCAAAAAGGAACACAAATTATTTCTGTATAACCTGGTTTGGTATTGGGACACACCCCCCTGACAACCAGCTGAAACATCTGTATCCTTTCCAGTCCTCGGGATTCATGGAAAATTCCATATTTAATAAATGTACCTTTAACTTCAAACAATAATTCGATCTTACCACATGTAAATAAACAACAAAGCTGCTAGGCCTGTGTATTAGTTTTTACCTCCCCTCGCTTCCCATCACTTCCGTTACTATGGTTGTATTATTAAGCGGCAAATTTGAACTAATAAAAAGCAACGAAATTTTACACCCATAGTTATTTAATGATTTTAAAATTAAATTATAAGGAATGACTTTAATTCTTGGCCAAATTATTCGAGTATAACCTGGTTTGGGTCAGTTTACGCTGTTTTATAATCCGCGAAGGGTCAGTTTACGCTGTTTTATAATCCGCGAATATAAAACAGCGTAAACTGACCCAAACCAGGTTATACTCGAATAATTTGGCCAAGAATTAAAGTCATTCCTAAATTATTACCCCCCGCAAACGAAGTCTGGGGGGTTTATAGGAATCAGCTTGTCCGTCCGTCTATCTGTGCAAACATGTCCAGTCCATATCTTTCTTACGGAGAAACATGAGAATCTACTACATGACACAGAATGCTCATGACCTAAGGGTGTGTCATGACCTTGACCCAAGGTCATTTGGGGAAGTTCAAGGTCACTGGAATAAAAATTTCTTAATTAGTGTCCAGTCCATATCTTTCTTATAGATAAACTTGGGTAAGTTCCTAAAAATTCAGTTGCTACCTATAATCTTCATATATTTTTTTTTTAAATGTAATCAAGTAAAACTCTCATTCAATGAGCTGCACCCTTAAAATATATTTCTACCCCTCAGCGGGGCCCTTGCTGAGTGGTCAGTTTTCTAGTTTTGTCCAATAACTACCTGTGTATCGTCTGAGAATATAACTTTTTGCCACTGATCAGAATTCCAATGTCTTTTGCCTCGGCACCACAGTACTCTCCGTTGTCAGTTAGTTTACATATTGTCCGAGTTTTTTGGATTTTACCCTGCCTGTATCCTAATTGATGCAATCTACGTCAAACAGTTCTACTGGACACGTTTGTTAGATCATTTCTGTTGAAAGTTGATGTAAAATTTCCCAGAGATTGTCAGCGATTTGTTTTAGGAATTTGATTAAGTTTCCGATCACCCCTTTCATCTGTCACTCGTGGCCTTCCACTTCGAGGGTTGTTTTCTACACTTCCCTTATGTTTAAATTTTAACAAAACTCGCACCACTGTACTTCGATGGATTCCCAATGCTTCATTTATTTAATTGTTGTTAAATCCCCTGTAGTTAAATAGTAGAATCCGCTCCTTTAATTCAGTTGACAATTCTCTCTTTTTCTTTGACATTATTTACGTTCACAACAAGCTGGAAATCGTATGCTCAAGTTAAAACTTAAACATTCCAGAAATTAAATCATATCCCGACTAATTCACACCCCGAATTTTATATACAAAATCTATTTCATTATGCGTCAATATTTAAAACAAATTTGAAGCAAGTTAAACATGATGACGTCAGCCATGTTTGTTGCAATACTTTTGGCCACTCAGTGTAGTTTTACGTTGTAATTTAAATAATAAAATACTTTCTTTGGTTGTTAGTACGGGAATTAATGTCGCAGCTATTGCAGAAAAAATATATAATTTTTTTTCTGCAACTGCTGCGACGTTAATTCCCCGTACTAACAAAGAAAGTATTTTATTGTTTATTTTAAAAAACAAAGTAAAATTAAATGTGTTTACTATTGTTTTTAAGATGAATATGCCATTGTATGTAGAACTGATGGAACAGCCATTGTTCAAGAAAACACACATGTGGCTTGCTCAGTGTCGTTCATGCACTCATTAATGGCAATGGGTTTTCTTAAGAAATAAAGGAAAATACATACAGTGAATGTAAATATTTACTTATAAATATTTTTATATTTCAGACTTGTGTCAAAGTAAAGATTTTTGAAAAAGCAGAAGCAGATACCCAAGTCCTCAAGTCCGGAACAGAATTGAACAAGTGTAAATTAATTGTCTCGGATATTTCTGAAACCATTCCTCTTACAATTTGGGGTGAAGAAATACAGGAAATCAAGGTTGGCGACTCCTACTCCATAACGAATGTCTCGGTCCGATCATATGATGGGAAAAGTTTGACAACTAGTCCAGACACTGTTCTAGTAAAAATTGACGACATTGGAAAATGTCTATACAGTGTCAAGAAATCAGAAACAACTAATCATTGATTCCGTGAGTTGTGCCATCACTCATGTGGGTATTGCATGTCACAAGAGCATCGGGTCGTTTAATGCAGCAGCAACTTTTCTGAAATGTGCCAAATGTGGGATGAAGCAGAAAACTTAAGGATATTAAGGAGAGATTTACAATCAACGATTCCGTCATTAAGGCAAACAGCATCCTTAAAAGTTTCACTGAAGCAGACAGAATCGAAAATCATCTCTTGTTCAATCAAAACATCATAGTGGAGGTAGCCACAAATGAACCAACAGTTCTGGAAATAATTAACATTGAGTGACTTCCTGTCATTGTCCTTGCTTTACCGTCACTTAACATATAGTTATCACCATGAAAACTTTGGATTTACAGAAACAATGTGACAGATAACATGGATAATGATATCGCCTTTTATTGCCAATTCATGAACCAATGCAATGCTATCCATGTCTTGTTTTAAATAGATGGTAGTAGTAGATTACTCCAGGATAGACGGGTCTATCCTGGAGTATAGGGGCCGTTATAGACGGTAAAAAAATGTCAAAAATGTCAAAAATGCAAAATGCGCTGGACCGGTCTATCCAGGCGTATAGGGGCCTTTATAGACGGTAAAAAAAAAGTCAAAATAAGAAAGTCTATACAGGATACCGTATCAAAAAATCCAAAATGCGCTGGACGGGTCAATTAAGTGCACTTTTTTTTCACCCTTTTTAAAAAAAAAATCCAAAAAATCCACAAAAAAATTTCAACAAAACCTTTTATTATTGATCCAATCCAATCCAATCCAATACAATACAATACAATATGAAAACAAGATTAGAGAACAGTCCTATTACAACACGAAAATCACAAATTTTTTATCAGTGTACAAAAGGATTTTTTTGGGTTAGTCACCAATACCCAGGACTTACACAGTGTTGGCAGCGATTCAATTATGTCCATTATGACGTCATTATCACACAAAAACAAGAAAAAAACATCAGAGAAACAGTCCTAACCGGAATATCACAAGGTTCACAAAAAACATGAAAACTTACTGTTTCACATCCATTATTCACAACAAAACTGTCAATTATTTTTCTGGAGTTTCAATTTTAGTTTCTCCTTTACATTGGTATTCTCAAGTTTCCTTTTGTTAGTGCCTTTGGTAGGAATTTGATGTTCCTGATGTTTTTTCTTCTCTTGAGTTTTCTCTAATTTTTGTACTTCTTTCACTAATTGTTGATCATCTTCTGGGCATTCATTAACCCAATGTCACATTCTTCCACATTTGTAACACAAATCCTGTTTTTTTCTTGGACAGTCTGGAACCCAATTTCCCAACTCTTTACAAATGTAACATGGATCTGTTTCTTTTGTCTTTTTTCCTGTGCTGCTACTGCTGCTACTCTGTTTTTTCTGATAAAATCCACCATTCATTTTCTCCTGGATGTTAGTCACTTTAACTTCTAATCTGGATAATTTTCCCCTTATCAAACAAAATTCACTGGTGTTATACTCTTTTAAATCCGTCAGCATTTTAATAATTCCATCCAGAGTGGTGGTTAAGATGCTCATATCTTCTTTGGTCATGGGTTCTGGTATATTATAAAGTCCTAAATCCAATCCGATGGGATCTTGTGTATCAGGTGCCGTGGGTAAGGCATATCCTAATCCACTACTCTGAGGTGGAATATAATTCTGACCTGTAAGATTATTAAGATTCATCATTGCTTCTGCCATGTTTATTCTTTCTACAGGTGTCAAGACTAATGCTATAACTGACTGAACTCTGAGTTTATATACCTTATGAAAAACTATTTTTAGCTTTTTGTTACTATAATTATAATAGCACGAGATCCTATTCTTAAAACACCTGCACAGGTGAAATTTTGGCACCTATTCAACTTTGAAAAACTATTTTTACCTTTTTGTTACTATAATTATATATATTAATCACGAGATCTGATTCTTAAAACACCTGCAGAGAGGGGTCATGTACTTAATCTTGGCACCGATTCAAGAGTCTTAAAACACACCTGTGTAGTATAGTACCGTGTGCAAAAAAAACTTAACTTAAGCCCTATCTTTACCTTGATTGGTTTTATTTCTATAAATAGAAAACCAAAAAGTATAAATAAGGTCATAAAAAACATTTCTTTTTTAAAAATCATTGATATCATGTTGAGACACTATCACACTTTAGTGTTGGAAAGTTATGATACTTTAATGCAATGTCTAGAACAACAGGAACAACCATTACCCCCCGAAGCAGAACAAGTGTTTCAGAAAGCAGACATCATAGAAACCACTCAGGACTTGTGGTTACAATGCCTGGCTTTATCCCATCGTACGACAGTGGGGAGATTAGCGATTATTCATTTCCTATGTCAACGAATGAAAAAGACTTTACCCGAAAAAATGTACGGGATGAACATGATGCAATATTTACAAAAACCCTACAGTTTTCTATGTCATCCCCAAGGGAGCAAAGTGATTCTACTTTGGAAAGAAATAGAAACGATGGAGAAAATCTGTATTCAATACGGAATGAAATCTCTGGAAATATCAGATCTACTAAAAAATGTGTGACGTTTAATACAGACTTGAATGAAATTTATGATTTACCCCCCGAAGATCGGAAAAGTGAATGGATGACTGTAGTAGCTGATCGATTAAGATTTCAGAGGAGAATTCAACACTTGGAACAATTGTTAAAACTAAAAAAATAAAAAAAAGAATGAAAAAAGACACTAAGCTTTTTTTTTGTTATTATTTCTATATAAATAGGACGCCATCTTGTGTCCTTTTTTAGACGCTGAGATGTTTTTTTTGTTTTGGTCTTTTTATAAAAATCTAGACTTTCCCATTGCAAATAAAGTAGATACCAATGATTTTTATAAGTTTCCAATTGTATTCATGTCAACATTTTCATCATTAAAGATCAGGATTGAAAAGAATCGTATAAGCTCTATACAAGTCTAGACACTGATTTTCTGAAAATGACTGACCTTTGACCTCCCTTGTGTTTATGTTTAGACCGACGCTAAGTTTATTTCTACACTTGTAAGGATTCTTTTGATTTAAAAACCCTCTCAACACTTTTCCTTAGGTTCGATCTTATGATAGACATTAAGTTTTCTTGGTGTCACACTTTTAAAAGTTTAAAACTCTTTATTTTACGTATTCAGGTCACTCAAGGTTAGGCCTTCGCTTCGGCATGAATGAGCCTGTTCTAAACAACGGAGGAATGTCATGTATGAATAATACTGTGAAATCATCCTCAAAACTTACCTTCATTCTTTCACTAGAAGGTTTGAAACTATATATCATTCCATAATATGTTATTTAATCCAATAGAGATATTCACAAACACAGAATAACACAATTTTGAATTCTCCATGATTTTTTGAGCTCTGTTTCATCCGGGCTTTTAAGTGCTTTCTTTTCGGGTCGCGCTGTGTGTATAAATACCAACGCTCGTCAGCTGTTAACTGTCATTCGTTATTAGCTGATTTCCAGCCACCGTTACGATGACTGAGGAAAATTTCCATGAGGAATTGTTCCTTATCCCAGGGATAAAGTTGGTCTGCTACTATGCGGTAGAACGTATTTCAGACGGACAAGAATTGCTAAGGTGCCCAATGATGCGGGTCCGGATTAGTGACAACAGCCATGCGAGAAGGATATCAGCAACCCCCTATGACAGACTGAACTCTAGGAGAAGAAGAAGAAGAGAAAGATCACCCTCACCACCACCACCAAGACCAGCCTCACCACCGCCACCACCACCAAGGCCTATATACCACCCCAGGCCCCAGGAAGAGGGAAGGAATTTTTCAATTCCCGATTCTCCTGATTCCCCTTCGCCATCGCCTATACCATCAACGGTGGATGAAGATTATAGTAGGGAACACCAGCAGAGCCACCAGAGCCAGCAGACCCACACGAGGTTTCAGGGCTGTATCCCCAGCTGGGGATTACAAGCCCCAGTCACCACCATCTTTTGTAGCCTGTGCCTCTGTGAGGAAGAGGAAAATAACTACATATGTGACCAATGTAGACAAAGGCCCGCATGTTACCTGTGTTCTGCCAGGATTATAGATAGATGCCTACCCTGTCCATTGTGTCGCTATAATCCGTTTCCTTGGAGAGGATTTGGCCTGCAGCCCCACTAAGGGAGTAAACCCTTAAAGAAAAAAATCAACAACGGCCCTTTTAAGGGCCACTTCAATGATTCGAATAGATACCTTTTTGATACACAGTTGGTTATAATAGAAACGTCTCATAAAAAACACCCATAGGTCACTGTTGTTTAAAAAAATTAAAATTAATTTTTTAAAAAAGAAATAAGAAATACTTTTTTAAATTTTTTTTTTTATTTTACACATCAACATTTTATTAACACACAAAGATTATTTTTTAAATTTTTTTTTATAATACACACTGGAATAAATTTTTTTTAATGTCACTTTTTTTTAAGCTGAACAAAAATAACATTTCTCTTTTTCTTTTCTATGAAATTTCTCCAGGCACAATTTTGCTGTTTCCCATTTCTCCAGTAATTCTTTGTTTCTCTCCTCAGGTTTCAGAATTCCATATTCTTGATAGTTGCCACCTTGCCTGTAAAACATTCTTTCTAATTCGGGTGTACTGTGGGACATATCAAATCTTGCTGTAAGATTAAGTTTATGCACATCCAGTCCTCCTACAGGTTCTTTCATTTGAATGAAACCCCTGATTTGATGCACTTTTCCTGTCCAGGGATGAATTTCCTTTTTTAGGATCAGGTATTGAATTTCATCTTCAAGGTTCAGAAAAATGTCTATATCTTCTATTTCTTCGTTCACTTGATTTAAAACTAATGTCCAGTTAATGGCTACTCTGTAGCTTCTATATGGGTCCTTTGGGTCATGGATCTTCTCATTTGCTGGCAAGTAAACATTACAGGGTTCTTCCTCCTCCTCCATAGTTTTTAGTTCTATTCTTCTTTTGGAAGGACTGGAATCATTTACCTCCATAGGCATGATCA